CATTTGGAATACTTAAAAATGTTTACTTTGAAAATGCATAGTGATCAGGAAAAGAATACTTAGGCAAGAGAAGCAGCTAAACTCCCACGTTCACATGAAGCATCCTCCATCGATTTTTTTTTTAAAGCATATTTCAAGTAGGACTTAATTGGGTCACAAACCACAAGAATAATATACAACTGGCTAAGGGGCTATGTATGTGATAAATAATCAGGAGAGCATCTATTCATGCACTAGTTTGATACAGCTAAATTCTTTACAGTACACAAAACCCATTAATAATGTAGTGTAGAGACCAAAATGTAAAGAGAGAGAGAGAGAATACATTACTGATCTGTATATTAATTCAAGTTCAGGCATCTACTTGTGTTACAGCACAGCTGTCAAAGGCGATAATGAGCAAATAATAAAACAGAAGGGTTTGTTCCTTTCCACATTTTTCTATGAATGAACACCGATGGGTAGTGAAGCAATGGTTTTGCTGTCCAACTTCAGAGGCTGCTGTGGCGGTAGTCTAGTTCTGCATCTGCTCAAAGAACTTGTAAGTTGGATTCTCGTAGCCATTCTGTTGCATCTTGGAGAGGTGGCGCTCCTCTGGGGTCACAGCAGCATCAACCTGAGAAGCAAGTATGAGAATGGCATTAAAATAAATACCTAAACAAATCCCTTAAAAATGCACACTGCACTGCTAAAGCTGTAAAAAGATAAAGTGCACAGTACTCTTCTTTTACCAAGACTCTTCTTTTACCATGATTTTCTCCTCTTTTGACATTACAGCAGAAAGCCTTTGCCTATGTGTTATGCAGATGCTCCATACAACCACCACCAGGTGGCGCTGACATGTTTACACGTGGACTCAGGCCAGTATCAGGCCCAGTGGTTACTTTTGCTCCCTCAACCCAACACTAATAAGGCAAATTAATTGAGGTTGACTTTTTTTTTTTTTTTTTTACTTCTTTCCTGTTGGTTACAATAGTACAAAAAGCCATGCTGGAGGACTGTTTTACTTGAATGTGGGTGGTAAGCTATAAAAAAAAATGCAAGAATATCACAGAGAGGGATCAGCAAAGTATGCTATTTGAATGACACTGTGTAGGAAAAAATTCCTCAACTTCCTGGACTGCCATGTATCTTCCCATGCTTATTTTAATTTGTCCCTGGTTCCATCAAATTTTATATTTGTGAAAGTGTTAAAGAGAGATCTGAGAATCTTTAATGTTATATGCAAATCATAGGAGCATTTATTTAGCACAGGAAAAAAAGAAAAACATTAAGGACATGCTGCTGTAGATTAATATACTTGGGGTATGTGCATGTGTTTAAACTGAGCACTAGTGCTCTGCTTCTAAGGTCAGCAGCTGTGAACATTTATCTCCTTACTCTTAGTGCCTGGCAGGGTTGCATGAGGCAGTTATTCTCTGCAGATTGTGCAGGGCACTTACCCCTTTAACCAGGGGTGCTGCTGTTCTTATTTCTACTCTATTTGCTATAGCTCTCTCTCCCAGTCCACAGAGGAGAGGAGGTACTGCATTAATAATAGCTTATTTTAAACAACTTTCTGTTCTGTAAAACCACTGTAAGATAAAGAGTATGACACAAATATATAATCAGGATGAAGAAACATCTTTTCCATAGAAAAGGAGCTTTCTCTGAAGGGGCATTTTCTATTCTGTGCATGATGGACCTGGGCTCCCACCACATCTCCAGGACCCTTCAGGCCTGTTTCCCATTACTGAGCCTCGCCAAGTGACATTCAGCATCTTCCCCAGCTTCTCCTCCCCCCACACCCCAGCGACAGAACCAATGATTGTGGCATAAATCGGGTACCAACAGCTGTCCCACTGAACTTAGTGAAGGCAAGATGCCAGAGGGCACATGGTGTCTCTTCAGGGATGGGGTAGAATGGTCATAAGCCATCCAGACTTAAAAGATGTGTCCATCTAATTGCCCCATCCCCCACTGCCTGCAGGCAACCATGTCTGACCCCACCTTGCCTCATTCTGTTCCCTGATTCTTGAGTTTCCATTTGTGGAAGACACAGCAGGGCTGCCGTGTTCTCCTGTAGCCAAGTCCTCTCTCAGGCCTTGACGTTTCCCCTTAGAACAGTACCACTGACAGGCACTAACCAAGAGCCAGCACTCAGAGGACTGATCAAATGATGCCCAGCATTACTGTCCCAGGGGAGTCATTCACAGATGTTTTCCCCATCGCTTCCTGCTTCCTTTGATCTGCACTGTTGTCAACAAATGAGGTCACCTGGCTTTAATTGGCAACAGTGTAATTAGCCACAGGCTTACAAGTTAAAATCCATCATTGAAGATTCGCACCAATAATTAGAGACTTCGTTCCCTCTCCAAATCTGCTCAACAGGGAACAGCCTGCCTGCAGCAGTGTGCCACTCAAACTTGGGCATCTTAACTGAGATTTTGAAGAATGCCAGGGTTCAAAAAAATTATCTTGCTTTGGAAAATAGGGACAAAACTGCTGTTTCTGAATCTACAAAAAAATGATGGGCTGCTTCACTGTTAAGAAGGTTATATTTTTATCTCCTCCAGGAGGCACATCATTCTCAACAACCATTTACATTCATCAAGGGCAGCAGAACACCTGGCAATTTCATCTTCCTATCTCCTCTTCAAACTCCAAAGCCAAACACTTAGGAGAGTCCAGCCAGAAATGCTATGCTCAGAGGCTGGTGTGCAGTCCACACTTCCAGCCTTCCTGCCTCTTGGCCACGGTGCTACTTGCTAATCCTTGCACCCCTGGCTGCTGGGAAGGTAGCTGTATTTTGCCATTTCCTCAGGGTGGGTTAGCTCTCAGAGCTCAAAGGGCTCAGGAGCTTCAGGAAAAGGGATTAGCTTTACAAACGGCACCCAACAAGTTTGGGATATATATATATATATATATATTTTAAATCCCAAACCCCCTGAAAATTAGGAGCAAAAATCTGAGCACCCATGTTTATGGATGAACTGGGATGGATAAACCTCTGCAGCAAGTTTCTTCCTCTTGACTGAAGTTGCAGCCTTGATGTGGGCCATCATGCAAGGGCCATTGCTTTACAACCCTGCGCAACTGGGCCTCTGCATGAACACCACTGTTCCCTTAAACACCATCATTTCCCTTAAAGCTGAGCTGAGGCAGCTTGAGCTCCTGGTGCTTGTTCTGGAAGGACTGATGCAACAATGAAGTGAGAGGCAGGGTCTTCAAGGCAGGAGCATCTGCCACTTGCTGAGATGCAAACACACACACACACACACACACACACTCGCATATCACTCTGAATACTCTCTCCTGACTCCTGGATTGGACAGCAGAAGCAACATCTGAAAGCTGCATGTGGTACTCTGTGCAATGCTCTGTGTCTTTCTGAGACCTGGGGTTCCTGCATAGCACCACAGCATGGCTTCAACTCCTGCAGGTATACACTGTAAGAGCAGAGCCCAGTCAGATTTGCTTTGCCCCAAACTAACTAACTTTGAGTAGAACTTTTTCTTTTCTTTTTGTGGTGCTGGATTTGGAGCACAAGGCCTT